AACAAGTCAATAAACCAACCCGAGTTGCCAGAGTCTGATATCGCCTTGGTTGAAGTCCGTCTTTCACAAGACATTCCCTTTAACTACAGGTTACTTTATCCTTTGCGCTCGGGGGTCCCCTTTTTCCTTATCAATTTTCCTTTATTTCCCTATCCTAATTTCCCTTAACCTTGAGTTGGTCCCACCTTGTAGGATTGCGATCCGCAACGTGACGTCATTTGCCATCGGGCTTTTGTGTTGGTGCACCAGTGGTGCTTTTCTCAGTGTTGGTTCCATCGGAATCTGTTTGCGACGGATCCGTTGTTGGTACTTTGCCATCGGGCAGTACGACGGTGTAGCGCTGCTACGTTTTCTTCTTTCCCGACGGGCTACGTTGCGACGTCCCCGTCGAAGACCTTATCAAGGGTATAAGGTGTACAAGGCGCTCTTCGAGCATTGGATTTACGACCCATCGGACCAGGTTTACCTAAACACCCCTCCGAACTCGTTGAGCAGTCGCCTTTACAAGTCTCTACCACCATTTACCGATCCCGGGCTGGGCCCTTCTCTTTGCCCCCCCCCTATCAGGGATCCGAGCTACTGCGGGCCGCAAACCCGCTTAAAGAGGACAGGGAGCTTCGAACACTCCGTAGCGCTGTGCCGTTGGCAGTTGTTGTTTTTGTTGCTGTTGTTTGTGTTGGACCGTCGGACCTTGGTCTCTGCCTAACAGGCGCATTGCACTACAAAAGTGGTCTCCCGACCTAGAATTTTTGGTGTACAGGAGACCTGATCAAGACTTTTTCCTACGACAGTCCCGGTCTGGAGACGCACTACAAAAGTGGTCTCCCGACCTAGAATTTTTGTTTACTGTTCAGGAGACCCGACCTAGAATTTTTGTCGACGACAGTCTCGGTCTGGAGACGCACTACAAAAGTGGTCTGGGTAACGGACACTTTTTTATTTTCTTTTGTCTGTAACCTTTTTGCTGCGTAGGTCCGCTCGTACGAGCGATGTCAACAAGCGCACCCGGGGACGTCGGTCCCGGGGCGAGCAGAGCCGGATCGGCACGAGCGTCGAGGATCCCGAGGGGTCCTCGCACCCGGAGCCAGGCCAATACGGCCACGGACCCCGGAGATCAAGAATCCCCTACGGGGATAGCCGCCGACAAGACTGACCTCGACGAGAAGTTGGAGAAGATGAGCAGCGAAATTCGCGAAGAAGCGAAGAAAAATCTCGAGGCTGAATTAGCCCTCGTCCGGAAGCAACTAGAGTTGCAAGCATCCGAGTTCCACACCGTTTTGGGAGAGCTGTCGGCTCGAGTGGATCTCGTCGAGAAGGAGCGAGGTGAGGCGACCGACGGTATGGAGCCGGAGGTCGTAGCCTCGTTGAAAATTTCGGTCAAGGACGCGAGGCGCGACGCGAATCAAGCCTTGGAGTCCCTAGGAAAATTTAGAACAAGCATCGATGACCGATTCGATCGCGCCGCGCAACGTCTCAAGGACCTCGAGCAGGCCGCGGATCAAGCTCCGCAAGAATCGGACGACGAGCCGCTCCCTTCGGGTAGAGAGGGCGACCGTCGGTCGAAGAAGGACAAGCCCGCTCGGCAGCGGAGTTCTAAGTCGAAGCCCTCGAGGAAGGACAAGCGACGTGCAAGCAAGGGTCACTGTAGTGACGATCCGGAGAACCGCGACTCACAGTCGGAGTCGCTTGGTCCCTCCGAAGATGGTAACGGCGGTTCGTCGAACCATTCAGGCGATTCCGAACGCCGTTCAGAGGACGGAAACGGAATTTCGTCAAGCAAGAAAATTTCCTCCAGACGAGGCGGAGTCACTTCGTCCGCCTCGCGGAGAGACAAGGACGCGGAGCCCGAAGATGTCGCAACGCGGCGCGGGCCGCGATGGGAGGAGTTGAAGGAGCTGAATCCGATCAACTACCTCTTCAAGAAGTTACTTTCGTACCGAACGTACCGCTTGCGGAACCCGCAGACATATTTGTCAAGTTCCCGGCGGACCGCCGTGCGAAACATTAGGAGAGATATTCCGCCTAAGGTGAAGAAGGACAACACGTTCACAGGAGAGGACGGGGTCCTTGTGTTGGATTTTTTGGCAAAGTTAGTTCAAGAGTTTGATACTCAAGAAATGAACGAGGGGCAAGCGATCCGCGCGATCCGCCTGTTGCCTGAATTTTTAAGCGGCATCGCCTTGAGGCAGTACACTTCGGTGTCTCAGACGGCCGGGGCCCATCACGGAAAGATATCCGTTTGGCCAGAGGCCGTACAGTGGTTGTTGAGGAGTTTCGCAACCGACGAGGCGATCCGTCAAGCCGTGCTCGCATTGCGAGAAGTTCAGCAAAGACCGTCTGAAGACGAGATGGAATTTTATATCCGTCTGACGGACGCAAGCAACCGATGTGGAAACGTATATTCGATGGAAGAACAGATGACGATGTTTATTGAAGGACTCGATTCGAGTATCAAGCCGATGGTATCTCAATACCGGCAAGACAATCGGGACGTTTCATTTTTGAGACTAGTGAATTACGCGAAGGCGCATGGCTCGGCGAGCCGCGCTAAGGACAAGAAGACCAAGAAGGTCACGATTCAGACGCCGTCGACGTTCAGGGCGGGGAAGAAGCCGAGGGCTTCTTATCCCGGTCGCAAAAGTCACGCCGCAGTCCATTTAGCCGAGTCCATGTCCGCGTCAGATGAGCGCGGTGCGCATGGAAGTAGCGAAGATCACTACGAAGGAGCGTTAGTAGCCGAAGGCGAGTTCATTGAGCCATCGGAGGGCTACGGACACGAGGACTACGGGGACAGCGGGTCGTCAACTTTACCGACGCCTGCATACACGACGGAGTCGTTTTCAGAGCCCACGGATCCCGTGATGATGTTTCGGGGGGCGGCCACACGCCGCCGCCGCGCATTCCGATGGAAGACAAGGGTACGACGTTTCGAAGGCCGAGCTGGATGGGAAGGCCGCAACGCCAAGGAAGGCCGCCGGCCCGTGGAGGACCTAGGACGCCGTATCCCGTCAAGACGCACGGTCTGGTGTGCTATCATTGCTATGAAAAGGGGCACGCCGCGCCAACGTGCATTCTTTCCCTCCGGGAAATGCACCGAGTTTTGGAAAATTATGAGGCGCTGTCTCCGATGGAGAGGTTAGGGATACCATCGACGAGTTACCTGAAGGTCAAGAATTGGTTCGATTCGCAGACGGCGAGCACGCCGAGTGCTTCAACGCCGAGGTCGAACCAACCCTTCAGAGAGCCCGCCGCGGGGCCCGCGCCGTCGGATGTGAGAAGGATCGCGCAGCGGCAGGAAAAGTAGGGAGGGGAATCTCGCGTGAGCCGCGAGAGGCACAGGGTCGACGTACTGTGCCCAGGGCTCAGCCCCGTTCCCCGTCTCTAAAGGAAAAATCAGGCCTCGAGGAGGAGGTTGTTGGATTTGTGGATAAGCCCAAAGGGCCAGCTCAAGTCAAGAAAATTTTGAGCCGAGCCCGAGATCATCCGCTGGAAGAAGTTCGAAGACCCTGGTACAGGGTTAAGCGAAGGGAGTGTCCCGAGAAGATTTTGGTCCTTGCGCGAAAGAACTACAAAGTTTACGCGGACATCGGACCCACAATTGGATTGATGAGCCGGGTGTTGTCTGTTTTAGACACCGGCGCGGGACCAAACCTTGTGCGAAAATCGGAACTCCCAGCTGGAATGGAATCTCTAGTGTCCTACGGACCGACCCAAGACATTGGCGACGCGAACAATAGACCACTCCGGACTCTCGGCACAATTAGAATGCCTGTGAGGCTTGGAAAATTTGTGGCCACAGCCGAGTTTATTGTATGCGAAAAACTAGCCGTCCCGCTAATTCTATGGGCGGACTACTGTGACCGGTTTGTGGAAGCAATTTATCCAAGGAAGAAAACGGTTGAGTTGGCGGATTTCTCGGAGGTTCCGATAGTTAGGTGGTTCTCGACGAGAAGAGGGAAGAAGAATCTCGTCCCGGGAGAGGACGAGAATGATGGACAGGGGGAGCGAATTTCCCCTAAGGTAAAAGTGGCAAGAGCCACAACTATCGAGCCAGGGACGCAACGCGTCGTGGAATGCACCTCGAAGAGGGCGGGCTTGGTGGTGGTTCAGCCGTACTCGTCGTTGTACGAAAGGCACGGGTTGACGTGCACGAATGGTGTCGTTCAGGTTGAGCCTGACAGGCCATTTCGTTTACTCGTTGCGAATTTTAGGACGTACCCTGTCAGGGTGCAAAAAGGCCAAGTGGTGGCAGAATTATTACTGCACCCGAGAGCCGCGCTCGAGAGCAAAACCACCATTGGTGAAGTTCTCGGAATTCAAGAAAGGAAGAAGGAAAATTTTCCTAATTCCACCAAGACGCCTACGGGCGAGACAAGATGCGAACCGCCGGATCAAGACCGGGAGGAACAGCAAGGAGAACGGGAGGAAAGGCTCTCCGCGACGGCAACTACGAAGCCGGAGCGGCGGATTGAGCCGCCACCGCCGGACGTAGAGGACCTCGACCTGAGCCACGTGCCGGAACGGCTGCGCGAGCGGTTCCGTCGGATGTTGAAGAAGTATTCAAGGATGTGGGATGGGACGCTTGGCGAAATTAATACCACCGTCCATCGGATCGAGTTGATACCCGAGACTCGCCCCATCGCACAAGCCCGTATCGGGCCGGACCTAGAGGCCGCCAAGTAGAAGATGCAGAGGTGCAGAAGATGTTGGAGGCAGGAGTGATAGAACCAGCGCAGTCAGAATGGGCGTCGCCCGTGTTGCTGGTGCCCAAGCCGGATGGGTCAATGCGTTTTTGCGTAGACTACCGCAGGCTGAACGCAGTAACGGTGAAGGACACGTACCCCTTACCGCGCATGGATGAGTGCCTGGACTCGCGTGGTGACACCAAGGTTTTCTCCGCGTTGGACGCGATTTCGGGATATTGGCAGATGCCTATCCCTGAGGGCGACCGCGACAAGACCGCATTTTCGTGTCACTCAGGACTGTATCGCTTCTCAAGAATGCCCTTCGGGCTAACTAACGCGCCAGCGACGTTTCAGAGAGCAATGGATATCCTGCTCTCTCCGTTCCGTTGGAAATGCTGTTTGGTGTATCTAGACGACATAATCATTTTTAGCAAGTCGTGGGAGGAGCACATCGTGCACGTGGATGAAATACTTTCCGTATTGGAAAAGGCAGGTGTGAAGCTCAAGCTTCGCTAGTGCGAATTTTTCGTGGAAAAGATCAAGTACCTGGGCCACGTCGTCCGCCCAGGTACGCTAGAAGTCGATGTCGCGCGAACCGCCGCGTTGGAACAAGTGCAGTACCCGCGAACACAGACACAGCTCAGGAGCTTCCTGGGACTCTGCAATGTCTACCGCAGGTTCGTTCCGCATTATGCGAAAATCGCGCGGCCTCTAAACCAACTACTGAAGAAAGGACAACCGGTCCAGTTGGAAGGATTCGACGAACCGTGCAAGAAAGCTTTCCATAAGCTCAAGGACGCTATCTTGGCACCGCCGGTGTTGGCGCTGCCGAAGAAGGACCTACCCTACTCGGTAGATACCGATGCAAGCGACTACCAAATAGGCGCTGCACTATTTCAAACACATCCGGATGCGCAACGCAAACCCATCGGGTTCTTTTCAAAAACGTTAGCCGCAGCCGAGAGAAACTATTCTGTATCAGAAAAAGAATGTCTAGCGGTAATTTGGGCCGTACAGACCTTAAGACCATATCTATATGGCGAGCACTTCGTCGTGCATACCGACCATGCCTCATTGAGGTGGTTGATGAACGTAACCGACCCCAGCGGGAGATTAATCCGATGGAGGCTCCGCCTCCCGGAATTCGATTTTGAAATCAAGTACAAAAAGGGAAAGGCTAACAGCCAGGCGGACGCTTTGTCAAGGTTGCGAACCGCAGGAGAAACCGTCGACGAAATCGACAACGAAATCCCTTGTTTTACGGCCGAACCGGCCGAGGGAACAGTGGAGGACGAGGAAAGTATTGACGCGGCAGACGACATCCTCGCTCTTGAGGGGGGGACCGCCCCTGATCGCCTCGATCAATTCCAAGCTGTCACTCCGGAGGAGCTCATTCGCGAGCAAGCCGTCGACCCCTTCTGCAACCGCATCAAGGAAGAAATGGACGCCGGAAAGGTGAGAACGTTCAGCACAGAGACCGAGGAACTCGAAGGAACTCTATGCCGTACCGCGGTGGAGTTTGTACAAGTGGTAATACCACAATCGTTAAGGGACCGCGTCCTAGGGTTGAGCCACTACGCAAAATTGGCAGGCCACCCGGGAGGCAGGAAACTTTACAAGACTTTGAGAAGATATTTTTATTGGCCTACGATGGCCCTAGACTGCTATGCAGTCGCGAAGAATTGCGCCGCATGTGCGCGGGAAAGGGTGAAGTTCAGAAAAAACACGAAGGAAATGAAGCTGTTCACGCCCAAAGCGCCGCTGGAATTTGTCGCCATCGACATCCTCGGCGAGCTAATTACAACTAAGCGAGGAAATCGGTATATTCTCGTGATCAGCGATCGATACTCGAAACTTGTACGGACCGTACCGTTGAAGAAGATATCAGCTGCGCACATCGCACAAGCCTTCGTTCACCATTGGGTATTCGTGTACGGACCGCCGTTCAAGCTGCTGTCCGACAATGGAACACAGTTCACGGCCCGGTTCTTTCAGAATGTCTGCCGAATTCTTGGCATACGCAATGTGTTCACGACTACGTACCACCCGTAAGCCAACGGCCAAGTTGAGAGATTTAACCGCACGCTGACTTCCGCGTTGCGAAAATACGTTGGAGAGCATCCCAAGGACTGGGACTTATTTAGCGACGCCGTGACGTTCGCCTACAACACACAAGTTCATCGAACGACGAAAATTTGCGCCCTTCGAGCTGGTGTTGGCTCGGGCGCCAAGAAACATTGCGTTACAAGCGCAACCAACATTGGAGAATTTCAGCTCGTCACGAGCATACTACCTGAAATGGCAGTCGTGGTTGGAGAGCCTAATGCGAAGCGCCGATAGGAGTTTGCGAAAGGAACAAGCCCGGTACAAGCGAAATTTCGACGCACGCCTTCGCAAACCGCAATACGAGATCCCACCAGGGTCCTACGTGTTCCTCCGGAAGGAGCAGGGCACGGCTAGCGAACCGAAACACAAGTTGGCACAAGTCGCTACAGGACCTTATCAGGTCAGAAGATCGGACCAACATACGGTAGTCATTGCCATTGGCGATCAGGAGGAACGCGTATCGCGAGATAGGGTGGAGTTAGCCCCAAGCCCGATGGACCATGCGCCGATAACCGGCCCACGTCAAGCGCTACAGTTCCTGGGAGAGCCGGAATTAAACGAAGAAGGAGAGGCAACGGAGGACGACGAACGTCCTCACACCCGTGCGCCTACGTCAGGGGACCAGGATAATTCAGTCGGTCAAACGCCGACAGCGGAGACACCTCCAGGCCTACGAGAGTTCGGAAAGTCCAGAGATGAGGATGAGCCGCCGGCTCTTCGGAAGGGGGAACGACAGTTGGACACGCAGGAAGAAGGAACTGAGAGTCAAGAGTATGTGATCGACAAGATCGTGGACCACGGCTACGACGGGGAAAAATTAATTCTGAAGGTGGAATGGTACAGTTATACGCCCGAGGACGCGACGTGGGAGCCCATTGAGCAATTGCCCTGCAGCGCGGCGGTCACGTATTTCGGAAGGAAAAGATTATCCTTGCCCGCGCAGATCGCGCAAGCGCAATCAGGATAGTGGCAACCAAGAATTTCACATGTCAGTGTCAGTGCGGTAATCCGCGCGGGGCATAGCGAGCCGACCTGAGGGTCGAGAAAAGGAGAATGATGAGATGGATCGAACCAGGTGAGGGGCCTTCAGACAGCCAACCCGCAAGTAGAAGCAGCGCGCCCACGAGTAGGATGAGCGTCGTGATGAGATACTCAGGTTGGAAGTCGCGTAACGATGTGCCAAGCGAGAAAAAAACGCTGGAAGAACGGGAACATAGGCTGGAAAGTCCACCTCCTTCACTCTTACCTTCATATCTGTTCGGTCTCGTTTTTGTTTTATTTGTGATTGCTTTTGTGTTGTTTTATTTCGTTTTATTTTTGAGATGTTAGGGACACGACCCCGCACCGCGGAGGTCGGTCAGGAAGTCTATGAGGAGTCCAAGGAGGACATTGAAGAGGCGATAATCTTCGAGATCAATTCCGCCTTTGACAAGGTTACGGCCGACGCCCGCGTTGCGGCATTTTCGCCATTCAGGGCAAGGCCGAGGAGGAGCAAAGAGACGCACGAGATCATGACTCTACGACGGGTGTTCCTACGTCATAGATAGAGCCAGAAGGAGATGAGGCACTACACACATTTGGAACACACACGCACAATCGCAGAATGCCCGTGAAATTACGAATGGGATCAGTGGCCCACACGCGCGTGAAACGTAATTTATTTGAGGATTTAAGGGGTGTCGAAAGCGAACTATTGAGCGAGCGGTATCAGAGCGAACGCCAGCCTTGTCAACTCGCTTCGAATGTGTTGATCAGGCTCGACAAGCCGTGAGACGGACGTTTAACAAACGGGAGGATCCCCAAACAGGGACAATGTCCATGCCTACTTGAGATTGAGAAATCGCCAGAGGGGATGCCGTCCAAATGGGACGCCCCTGTTGGTCAGACGGTTGTGATCGACACACTCGCGAACGCATTTAATCACGCGCGACCTACGTATGCGTTTATCAGGATAACCCCGCTTTCGTTTCTGTTTTGTTTACTTTTTCTTTTTTCGGTGTCGAGGACGCAGTCCTCGAAACAAAAGTTCGGAGGACCTACAGGGAACAGAGAAACCCTAAGGGAGAGGAGAAGCCCGGGCCACGATGCCGACGGCATAACGAGCCCAGGCGTTGCGACAATCGAGATCAACAGAGGATGGAGAGAACGCCTTGCAAACCCATACGCACATGCCGACGGTATGGCGAGTCGTCAGTAACAATTCGCATCGCGAAATGAAGCTACGCCGGTCAAGGCGTAGGCCTGTTGTCAACGGACCAGCGAGGAAAGGTGGACGTTATCAATAACTTACAACAAAGAAAAAAAATGGATCCTCGATTGTAGTGACAAGATGGAACTTTAGTTAGAATTTAGAAAGTAGCGAAAAGGAGAAGAGGAGGAAGAGGCAGGGCGACAAATGAAGGGGGAGCATGAGTTGTAATCGGTTGGAGAAAGAACGATGGTGAAGGAAAATGGGGACTCCCCACGATCAGGAGGACGAACCAGTGTCGAGATTTCGACTCGGACGCACGAACCGTGCCATTCTGAGAAAGAAAGGGGAGGGCACTCGCCAAACAGGGAACGAAGATTCGCGTAGAGAGAAAAGAAGGGAAACTTGCAAACGTCCGAGAAAGACGGAAGTGATAATCGATGAAGTACGCGAAGCGCCGTGACGAGAAAAGCCCCCACGCTTGTTTTCAGTGAGCACTCACGGTTCGGCACTGTAGACCAAGAGGTACACAGGAGAAGGCTAGGGTTCTGTAATACGCGATCGCATGCCGAAAACGAGGATCGCATTCTGTGGTAATTGGTACCAAGGGCAACAGCCCTCCCCGAGACCGGATGCGTCTGTCGTATTTTTTTATTGACGTATAGGGACTGGCGTTGTCAAGGAGACTATTGAATTTTTTTCGATGTGGATCCCAGGGAAAACGTTGCATAGGCGCGAGGAAGACTTAGGAGAATGTACACCGCCCAACCCTGTTCACTGTCGGTGATAAGGGTCGCCAAGGGCAGACTACTGTACTCCCTAAAGAATAAGCGGATGCGTCAGAATTGACGAACGGGTTACCTTCGGACCGAGGTAGAAGGTGTGGGAGATGGATGTGGCTGATCTACAGCTGCGAGAGACGAATGAGAGGGGGGTTCGGGTCGGTGAAAGCTAACCAAGCGAAGACGAGGACCTCGTCGTGATTACGTCAGAAAAAAGGGACGAGAGCCTCAGGCTGCGAAATGGAGGCGTACTCAAACGCTGTATGAGAAGGGCCGGCGAGCAGGAAAAAGAGGGATGGACCCTATGTGGAACTTCCGTGACGCGATGAAGGCAGACGGTGCTGCCGTAGGTGATAAGACGCCGAAGGTGATATGTCGAGGGGTATACGCAGGCGAAAGCGGTGCTTTGATACAACGTCGTACGCAAAGTCCCCAAAAGGAAGCAGCAGCCCTGTGGCTCTGCCAGAGGGGGGAGAATGAAAAAATGACGTCGAGGCTGAAGCAGCCGTGCGAGAGGCTCGGAGAGGATCGCCGCGAGGAGCTCAGAGGATGGAGAGAAACAGAGAAATACTGTCGCCCGTGTAGCTGTCGATGACAGAACTGAAAGAGGACGCCTGCCGCGAATAAGAGGAGGAAAAATGGAGACCAAGGAGCGACCCCAGGATCGAGGGGGGCCGAGGAAGGAGTTGTGCGAAAGAGACAGTTAATGTGCACGGGCGCGCGGGCGAGGCGAAGCGGGAGGAAATGGTTAATGCGAGAGGCGACAAGGCCCAAGGCGTGGCAGGAACGAGTGTCGGAGGCATGGAAGGAGCGTACCTCGCAAGGATGAAGGGACGCGACACGACTCACGGGGAGAGTCCGAAGGACGAATATTTGCCGCCGGATAAGACCTCGAATGAGCCACTAGATACTCCGGGGTGTGATTTGGGAAATGTTACTTCCGGACGCCTCCGAGTCCACCTCAACAACACGCCGTGAAGATCGACAAGTGTCGCGCAGCCGGAGGGGAACACAGGACACCACTCGGAATTTTATTCTATTTTAAGGAAAGAGTGTCGCGGACGAGCGCACGGGACGCTGAGTATTTTTGGGACAAGTGCACAGACGAATTGCGAGCACGGAGAAGGTTCGCTCTGTCCAGACGACGTCATCCACTTGCACTTACATTTTGTTTTTTTGTTTTTGTGTGCGTTACAACGCAGCTATTTGACCGAAGGATCACTCACCCGACCCTTGCAAGGGGTCGGTTGAACAGATCTCCCGTGTTACACCCACACGCCGATGGCGGAATTCCGTAGTGTTTCGACTGTGGTAACAGTCCTCTCTCAGGACGAGAGCGTCTCAAAGAAGGTCGTGCTCCGACGGGCCGTCGGAATTATTATTTGAAGTTGTCGGCGATGTGAGCCTGGAAATGCAGTGATCAATATCTCAATTGTCAAGACGTATGAGCCCGGGACTACAGGAGCGCAGTCCCACGCACCTGCCGAGGCCATGATTCAAAGGGGTTTCCGGACGGTTAAGCGACACGACGTGCGGACGCGTGTGTCAGTATGGGTAAGATCAAGTTCACGGCCTCCGCAAGTGCTATCGTACTCTATTTCATGCAGTCTTAAGCCAGGATCGAGGGATTGGAAAGACGTCCCAAATCGTGGGACGAGACAAGAATGGGCAACTAAAATGTTATTGTCTCATGAGAACGTAGTTGTGTCGTTCACGATGCAACATTTGCACCAGCGGAACTGGCAGGTACTTTTTACAAGCCTCAAACTAAACCCGACCGAAGCGGCTGTATATTTGTCTGGACTCGGATAAAATTCCAGAAAGAGAAGGAACCCTTCCACTCAACTCCGTTGGGAGGATATTGACAAAATAAAGAAAAATAACAAGTCGCAGACGTCGCCACCTCCGGACATCGGGATCTACAACGAGGGAGGATCTTGACAAACCTCCGCCGCATCAGCCCTCCTTGAAAGCGG